CCCACCTTGTCACTGCTGCAGTGGAATTCTGAATGCATTTTAGGAAAGTGTCTTCCCAGAAAACAAACATATCTTCAATTTGATCTCTCTTTTTAAATAGTCTCTTTCTAATCTCAAGAAAACAACTGACCACCTGGATCATGTGGCCTTTAGAAGAGAAATTATGCAGCTTTCTGGATTCCATAAACTTCAGCAGTCACATATTGGACTTTTTGACTCAGCTGAAGGTCAGAGGGGAAGAATGTGCAAATAAGTAGCATGGACATATGGAGCTGCTATGGGTGACATAGGTGGGACAAGCCAAGGAACAGAGTTAAAATGAATTTTTTAATTTATTTCTTGGCTGTCTATAACTGATCCATTCCCTGCATATCTGGGATATGCTGAACAGGCTCAGGGAATCCCCTATTTTTATGTAAAATAATTTGGATGGGTGGGTCCAGGTCTGCTTCTGAGACTGAGGTAGGATTAGGCAGCCATAAAAAGCTGAAATCAGCTAGAAAAAAATTATCTGGAATAAAAGAAGCTATTGCAGCTGCGAGACCCTTGGGGATCACAGAGCATATGCAGACTACTCACCCATGGAAATAATTATAAAGGGATGGATAAGCATCATAATCAAAACTCCAAAGCTCAAATGCAGAATTCACATTGCTGGCACATTTTGCATACTAAAATGATGGCAAATGGAAGGCAAAGTAGTAGTAAATCCTAAACAAAATCTTATTTTGATCCTAATCCTGAAAACCCTATATAGCTGTCCCATGGATCAGGCACTTTTTCAGTTACAATGACACAAAAATAGATTTAGAGAAAATAAAAAAAAACAATATTAGCATTTTGAGCCAAAGTAGTGAGTTATGAGGTTTGTTAAGTTGTTTAATATCACCACAAAGAACTAGAGGCAACCTATTAAGGAAAAGAGGTTAATTTGTGATTGTTACATCTTTATATTACAACTAAAACTGCCAGACAGGTTTTTTTTCCTATTAATTTACATTGTACATTCAGGATTTGTCTATCATGTTTTATTTAGCAAACTTTGCAGATGACACAAGACATAGCTTGTTTATCGTATCAAAAATACCAAACAAGTAACATCTTTTCAATTTAGAGGAAGAGATTTTTACTCAAACTGCTTTCTTGTTTGTTTTTCTTAACACCCATTGAACTCAAACACCTAACAAAGAGTTTGAAGAAAATCTCTTCTGCTACACATTCACCCCTCACTTTCAAGTAGGTGCTGTAAAATCTCCTCATTCACATCTTCGGGTCCCCAAAATGTAGTCTGATATATGAAAGGTTAAGAAAAACCCGAATATTCACTTATTGTAGAAATCAAAACACTTTTTTGCTATCTTTATACTACACTGTCCGTAAATAAGAACAGGAGGCACAAGTCCTATTTTCCCCCCTCTTCACATCACCTTTAAGACTTGAACCACTGTGATGTATATAAAAACCAGTAACTTGAGACTTTGGTGACAGGTACTCTAGTTTTCTCTCTGCTTAGCTTAAAAACTTCACTTCTTTCATTAGAGACTGGCATGCTGTCACTTCACCTTACCACGGGCAACTTTCACTACAAACTGAATTATGAGTAGTGGGCACAGAGTGGTCTTAGGCCAACAAACAGGTATCAATTCTCCACAAAAGTCAAAGAATCACCCTATACAGTTTTGCAAAACCAGAAAAAGCCTGAAGACCTCAGCTTGATTTCATACATTATAGAAGAGTTGGGGATATCGAGAAAGTATCCATTGGGTAAAATTTTCAAAAGGAACTTAATCCCATTTTCAATAAATCATTGGTTTAATCCTTTTTTGCAATTATATTTTAGTTATTTTCCTAAAAGAAAGGCTTGTTCTCACTGGCTAATACAACCATTCAAACATATTGATTTGCAAGTAAATATAACCTTTACAGTAAACTTGATACTTTTTTGCAAACAGAATACCCTGCATTTATACACATTTATTTAAACGATTATATAGTTTAACATACAATTATTCATATTCTTACTTTTTACTTTTTTAGAAAATGGTTAATGGTGCTTTTTCATTTTCCAGATGATTAATATTGTTATTCAATAAATGTATTACATTGGGTTACATTAGGATGGCAACTGGAATTAATTAAAAAATGATCAAGAAAACCATTACAAAATGTATAATAATAAAAAAAACTATCTTAATGTGACGGACACATCAGTTTATCAACTGGTTTTGCATTTAAGATTAACCGATTTATTGAACGAAGGAAATATTAATTGTAGTTAGTAAACTGACAGATTGGAGATCAGGCCTATGATGACCAGGACATTAAAAAAAAGTATCTAGTGGCTTAACACCATTAGTACAGGTTGAACCTTTCTAGCCCAGCACTCTTAGGACCTGACAAGTGCCAAACTACAAGAGGTCAATATTGTAGCAAGTAGTTCTCTATTTTTATTTCACCAAGGAAAATAAATGGAACAGTGCTTGCAATGCTGCTTAATAAAGTATGAATGTACTGATATACACTATATAAGCCTATATCTAGCCAAGGCTTATCAGCTCCCTTCATAATAAAAGTTTTAGTGTTATTACACAATTTTAAAGTATTGGCACAAAGCAGTAAGTAGATAAAGCATAAAAATGATAAAGCACTTCTACTGCTTGCTGGTCTCTTTAGGGGTAATTTAAAGCTAAAAGCATAGAACGCTGAGATCCAGAACTGGTAGCCATAAACAAACTTTACAGAACCACAAAAAACTTGACCACACCCACGATAAGTGGACTTCTGGCTAACTAAAATCATGCCGGACCACAGATATTGCCATGCCAGACCGTGCCAGATTAGAGAGGTTCAACCTGTAGGCATATTTAAGCACCTTAACACCTTTGAAAATCTGGCCCTACGTCCTTCAAATAGATCTAATTCTCTCTAATACCTAGTTTATATTCACAGATTGAATGAAAACATGCTTTCCTGCTTTTTCAATTCCTGGTTGGTTTCTCAATTTTGAATGAATTCATCCAAATTAAGAAAATATTTTCTCTTAACCTGCTAGCTAAACTGAAGACAAAAGTAATTAAGGAAAAAGCTTTTCTGCTCAGCAGAAACTGAAAGTAAATATAAATGCTAGCACTCACTTCAATGCACAGATTAAAAATAATTTAGATACTTAATATGGTATTATGACATTTATAAAGCTTAAATTGACTGCAAAGGTTAGAGATGATTCTCTGTATCATTATAAAAGCAGAAACCATTAACACATTAACATTTGAGGCCTCATTAAAGCAACATTTGTCTTATTTATTTAAATTATTTTCATATATTATAGTAAATTTAGGTCTTAACACAGGCCATTTTAAAGGGTTTATTTTTAAAAAAGAAAAATGTAATTTAAATAAACTCTTATTTTGATTTCTTTTTTAAAAGATTTCTATCCACCCTGGAATCTAAATCTTGCTCTCTTTCAATGAGACATGGGCACCAAAATGCTTAAAACTCTTTTTAAAATGAAACTAAATCACTGAAGCACATTTAGAAATTCCACCCATTGTCTTCAGAAGAGAAGGAATAGATTCAACTGTCTGGAAAGGAACAAATTTGAGATATATGGGGTTAAGACAAAGGTAGCAAGGAATTCTTCACAATTTTTATGTGGAGTATCAATCGGGGGTAATAAGCATAGCTAGAGAGTTTCAAGTAGCACTAAAAACTTCCTCAGCAATACACTGTATTAGAATCAATGACCGACACAAAGTGTAAGAAAAGGAAAAAAAGCACACAATATGAATTAAAGATTTTTTTTTTTTAATTCTAATTCCTTAGGTGTTACCCATTTGGACTTTCAAAGAAAACTGAAAAACATCAGGGAACTAAAGCCAAGACTTGTTTGGATATATATAGTACTAATTTATTATTTTTTCTTACCTTTCTTACAGTTTATAAAATGTACAGGGGTTCAGAGCCACCTCAATAAAATAATGCGCATATTTTTATTTTTAAAGGGATTACTGTAGTCAAAACACTGGTGTGCAAAAAGGGTTGACTTCCATTATGAAAAGTCATAGGCACAATTTCATTATATGCATTTTGGTAAAACAAGAAACTATAGTGCAGCAAAAATTAGGCCTTTATTAAAAAAAAAAAAAAAAAAAAAAAAACACCATCTGAGAAAATGATACCTTCGGTCAAAATAATATTTTAAATATTTCACTACCTGCCATACTAAATCTGAACCCCAGGCAATTTATTACATATGTAGTGCCCTTGCGAAATATTTTATATAAGCAGTGAACCTGAAAGGCAGTTCATTACAAAAGGCAACACTGAGGCTCTTATCTATATTTTATACTTAATTATCTCCCCACTGCCTCCTCTAATAAATATCTATATAACAACTGCACAAAAGTATTTCTCTTAGAGCAAGTAATTATTATTTAAAATCCCGTAGACTTAAAATTAACCTACTCCATGTGCTATGAAAACATTAGGCACAGATCACATACTTTACATTTTCTTTTTAAAAAAATACAATTATGTGCAAGCTAGGTTCACACAAAGGATTGGCAGCTACAACAGTAAGCTATTCAGAGCCCACAGAAAAGTTCTTTTCCATTAAAAATTGTTTTAAAATTCATTGAGCAGTGATCTCACACTGCTGTGTGTGGTTATCATATCTGCAACAGGATTATTTGTTCAACTGTTAAAGGAAAAGCTTTAGTACATCCTAAAGGACACCACATCAATACTTTGTCCAGAGAACAGAAGTTTTAAAAACTCATCAGAATATAGAGAGTGCAACCATCCAACTAGTAAAAACAGACACTGTTTTCTGAAGGAAGGAGTTAGTTGAAATTAAGTTTATCTGATAGGGTCCTTCATTAACTGTGTCATATCTGAATAATAGAACCCATAGTGCATGGCATAAAAAATGGAAATGGGGTTGGAAGGAGGCTTTGTGGAAGCTGCACCAGAAATGCAAAAAAACAAACTAATTGCAACCATCCAACTAGTAAAAACAGACACTGTTTTCTGAAGGAAGGAGTTAGTTGAAATTAAGTTTATCTGATAGGGTCCTTCATTAACTGTGTCATATCTGAATAATAGAACCCATAGTGCATGGCATAAAAAATGGAAATGGGGTTGGAAGGAGGCTTTGTGGAAGCTGCACCAGAAATGCAAAAAAACAAACTAATTTTATCCAAAAATTGTACCCAGTTTCTTTAATTTGTGTGGAGTTTATTTTTTGGGGAGGCAAGAAATATTTAGCAGAGATTTGTACAAAAGAAATAGTACAAGACACAAGCAAAGACTATGTGCAGCTGACTGTTAAGTTGCAACATTTAGTATGCATCCTCTACAGATATTGTTTATAGACAGCCACTCATGTTTTAAAAAGTGTATTTTAATACTAGAGGCTACTGTATATTCTGCCACATATATAATATATGACAATTTCTCTACAAGGAAAAAAATTTAATAAGTCACTAATTTATCCTAAGGGGAGGGGGCCTGCTGTGAAGTGCCAGTTATTTCATGCCTTGTGGAAGATATGAGATATTGATTTATTTCATCTGTTCAATTTCTGTCATACCACCCCTCAATTTAAAGATCCATATTCACAATAATTTGTGTACCCTTGCAGTGCCCTTTAATAGCAACCTTTTCCTTTATTACAAATCATTTTCAAACCCACATCTCATGTCGTAGAAACTATTCAAGTAAATATTTCTGTTGTGGCAAATTTCCAGATGTCTCAAATGCTATCCAAACCCAAGGTCAGACTGCATTTCCTTAGTTGTCCCAGTTTTCTTTAAATGGAGCAGGAATTAGCCCGTTTTCTAGGTTTGGGGTCCCGTACATCCTTGTCTTTTAAACACATACAAGATGAACATATTGTCTCCGACAGCCTCCGGAGTCCCAGCCTGAAAACACTGTTGGAGAGGCTATATATCACACAGTTGCAGAAACTATTGCTTATAGCAAGCCACGTTGTTAAGAAGGAAAGTGCTGGATTTTCCAGCACCCTCGAGCTCTCCAGAAGAAAGTATATGATATAGGGGAGCCAAAGCACATAAAATACACTGGTTATCCGAAATAAAACCATGGCATAGCGGCGGTCGGGGCTGTGCCCAGTCTCTCCAGCAGCATCCACTTCATGGCTAGGAAAACGAGCTCTCCGGTCATTTATCTCTTTGGTGTGCTGCCGGCAAATTTTGAAGATGTGGAAATATGTGAAACAGATTACCAGGGCAGCTGGAGCATATAATAAGCAAACAATAAAGCCAGTAAAATAGGCATTGGTGAGCCAGGAGGTAGCACACCATTCAAAAATATCGCCATGGTAACCAGGTTTTCCCCAACCAAAAAAGGAAGGCAAGAAGACCAGACTAGAGTATATCCAGATCAAAATTATACAGATTCTCAAGCGACAAGGTGTGACCAGTTGATTATAGGAAAGTGGTTTTGTTATAGCAAGATAGCGGTCAACGCTGATGCAAGCAAGGCATGCCATGGAGACACTCTTCAGCACAGAGATGATGTATCCAAAAACCTGACAAGTCAAAGACTCATGGACACCTGTAGAGTAGTGAAGCAATGATAATGTAGGAACCAGGCAGCTAACTCCAACAAAAAGATCGGCATAGGCCATGGTTTGAATAAAATAGCTGGTGGTATAATGGTGTAAGAGGGGAGCACAGTGAAAAACAAATATTACAGTCAAATTACCAGCAATAATTAAAAATGTTAGCAAAACAATGACGGCTGTCTCGAGGATGCAGATGTCGACTGCATTGTAGTGGCCAAATCCTAGCGGGCAGGAGAGATGCTCAGACAAATTCACAAGGTTACTGCTCATGTTCAGAGTCCTCCATTCAATCCATCTGGAGTAGTTCATGGTTTGGGGTTAGGGAACACTGCAATCAGAATTACAGTGAGCAGGTGACCTGCCCAACATCAGATAAACTCTGCTTCAGCGTCTCATGATCTCTCTTGGTAGACACTGCCAGCACCTCTATCAGGGAGGTTACAGTCTCATAGCTGTTGTCTCTTCAGCGTCAGGGCAAAACTCTGACACACCTTAGCTTTGAGGAAAGCAAAAAAAGCCAGAAAGAAGAAAAAAAGGCAACTGACCAGTTTCCTCCAGTGCTCTTGATCCATCTTTATCAAACACAAGGCACTTCTAAAGAAAACAGGTTCTTTTTACTGTATTTGTGGAAGATGAAAATTAAAAATAAAATAAAAAGAAAAGGAACAGGAAAAAGTCAACTGCTTCCAAAAATTCTGTGGATTTTTTTTCTTTTTCCTGAGAAAGGCTATTTCTTTGGAATTAGCTAGAAATATACAAATAATAAAAAGGGGGGAAAGTCTTAATATAACACAAGTCTCCTGAATCAGGAATCATTAGAAACAAATTAATGTTTTAAGTTCATTTAAATAATTAAACCACAGATTGTCTGGAAAACTGAAGAAAAGTTCATTGTTTCATTCTGTGTCTTTGGGCTCTGTTCAGGAGATTTTTGCTTCATCTATTCTATTCATTAGAGATGTAAGGAAAACATTTCTGTCAAGGTTAATGCCACTAGACGCACCACAGTTTGTGTATGAATAATGAATTTTATTTGGAGGGAGAAGGGTATGGGGAGAGCCAGGTTTGTCCTCTAACTCCCAGGAAGGAAAACATACATCTACCTATACAATGAGGAAGATTGTGAGTAATCACTTAAAAATAAAAAAAAAAAAAAAAAATTTTGGAGTTTGTCAGTATTAAAAACTCTTAAACATTTATGGTCCACTATAACTATCAATGTCAGCAGAACAATCCAAGGTCCTCACAGACAAAATACATCCTTCTTGCATTTAATTGCAGCAGTGATAATCAAAAATTATTTTCTTCAGGAATAATGACATATCTGCTACAGTGGATCAGTACTGTGAAGTTCATAGCTATATCCACGATATTTCTCACCTCTGTAGCAACACCTGAATCTTTTCATAAGCTCCATACAAGAACAAAAACTTCCCTCTGCATTCTGCTGTGAAGCTAATGAAATGCTGATCTGACTAGAAAAGCTGCCATTGTTTACTCCATTATTCTGTCACTCAGTTTCATCTTCTAGGCTGCCATAGACTTTGTTTTTATTACATGATTAGCATGATAAATCACTGCTTCAAAAACAGATCTTCTAATAGCTGGACATTACCTGTTAATTGTATTTGCAGATATGGAGCAGCCAAACGTTAAAAGAAAGCCTCTTCTGCATTCATTTTTGAGTAAATGCTTGATTAGTGCAAGGACCATTTGCTAGGTTACTGTACACAGTCTTGTTTTTAAAAGCCCCCACAAATACTAAAAATATCTTTAATTGTAGAATTCCTGAGATTAGGAACAGGCAGACAAGAATGAAGCAATCCAAATAAAAAGATTTCCAAGGTCATTCAGATATTATATTAGCATTCGCTTTAAGTCCCATTAAAAGTACTGACATCTCACTGATGCTTTTGATAGTCTTCACTGTGCCTTCTGAAGGAATTTCATTCTGTAGAAAAGCAGCATTTCCTCCACTTCTGATGCAGTAGTTTGATAAAAAGCATTCTTCTGAAGTTAATTTTCCGTGGTGCACCATCATGCTGTACAGAAGGCTCTTTTTGATTCCATGCATCCCCAAAACACTTGTCAGTTATCCATTCCCTCTGCCTAAAAAGTAATCTGTTACAAAATAACTACTTTTTAAAAAAATTCTCTTGCTACAGCAATAAGCCAATGTTTCTCTCCTCTGTTCATTCTTATCAGCTGCTATGGTGAACAGCTTGATAAAGAAGTCCTATTTACTGTGAGGCAGTTACAAGGATGCTGTCACTTTTTCTCACATTCTCTCTTGAAATTATTGCTTGCACCTGAGTCTGCTCCTCCTCTTTATCCTTAGCTGATGCAGAAGAACTCACCATCAGAAAGGTGACTCGGTCCTTCTGCCCCAATCAACAGCACAGCCAATGGCTAAAGCAGCTGAAATTGTCACTAGGTAACAGTTGCCAGGCACAATGCAGGCTTATACAGCAAGCTGCAAATAAGAATGACAAATGAAGACAATGGAACTGACCATTCCCTATATTAATGGTATTTGGAAACTTCTGAAAGAGGCTTCCCCTCTAATACTTCCACAGGGTTATATCCTGAAGATTAGCAAAACATGAAATTATTCATAGTTGTACCTTTGCACACCACATAGAAACTACCATAATATTACTACAACCACCACCAGCTAAAGCTAGTCAGCAGTAATTTAATCCTTATTGGCAGAAAAGGCCTATTAATTATTAAATAAATAAGTGCTAACCTTCATAAAGTCAAACTGATTATTTTAAAATAAAAAACATGCAGTTCAATTTTGATCTGTAAAAGTATAAAGTCAACTTCTACTGTCTTATCAAATCAAATTGCTGATGTGTTTAAACAAGATAACTGTAGACAGTTTCTCGTAACTATAAAATCATAAAAAGTACACTGAAGCAATGTTTAAGATCCAAAAAAAAGACAAAAATACAAAGACATTTAAAATTAAGGCTGAAACCACCTGAATACCTCACGCTAATATGACTACATATGCAGAGATCTCAGCACAGTATATTAATGTATACATAGATGCATGATATATTGTAATACCTAAATACAATGTTGAACAAGTTATTCTCACAGTATTTGTTGGGAATTAATCTAATACCTATCGCTTCTAAATGTTTAAGTGATTTATCATTAAGCAATTATTTGTTTTAGTTCAATATAAAAATAAGGGGAATTACAGATAGATTTTAAAGGGGAAAATGAAAATAAGTCCCTAAAATAATTCAAAATCACTATTTGTATATATAGGAAATTATTTAAAAAATATTTTTGTAAGAACAATTTTCTTTCAGTAGGTAAGTCTGAGACAATGTAAAAGATCAAATCTATTTAAAGTTTTTTTTAATTCAATTAACTTATTTGTGTAATATCAATACATATTCATATTATTACTTTTCTGGTTATGGATCTGTTAAATATATATGTTTTGTGATTCCATGATTTAAAGTGAGTACAAAGTATAATGATTGCCTGCACACTAGACACATTTTTAACACAAAATTGAAACATTCAGTATATTTAGAAAATACCCAGTCATACACTAATATGTATTTTGGGCTAATGGCCAGCAAAATACATTGGCCACCAGGTTTTGTTTTAGAGACTGAATAAAATAAAATAAGTAAAATGTCTAATTATTCATTCTTGTAGTTCTGCTACATAAAATCACAGATCAAATTTGGCAAAAGTTGCTCCTAGGGTAACACCTCGTATTTTATATTTAGCCTGGAGCAAATTTTCAAGGCTGAATGTCAAATCTCTAGAAATCAAAACTGTATACTGAACTGAAGCAACATAACTGCATCACTACGAATATACTGGTAGTAATTTGGCAGTGACACTCAAGTCAATTCCTCAAGTCAAAGGATATAAGAAAAAATAAACAACATTTTCACCTTATTACATTCATATATACTATATATTTTAGAAATGTGCATGTGTCTGTCCATCTGCAAGTCTATTTATTCAAGAACTCCTCCTAAATAGTAAGAGCTAGGACCAACAAATTCGGTAGGCAGCTTCCTCTGATTATACCTTAAAGTAAGGTAAGGGTTTGGTTGTGCCAGGATAATGAGATCTGCCTGAAATGTGATTGTTTATCATCAAATGGAGGGGGGGGGGTCTGGTAGGAGGGACAGTTATACTGCAGAATGACCACAGGGAGCAGCAAGGGGACAAGGACAGCTATAACCCCACTACCCCCCCCACAGGGGCCAGCAGGGGGACAAGGGTAGAGAAAGGGACAGGTATCTATTATATATTTCAGAATTTATGTGTCTGTTTGTCTGCCTATCCCCCAGCAAGCGGACATGCAACTCTCACCCGGCAGTACCTGTTGCGGCTGCAGCAATGAGAGAGAGTTTGGGTTATCCTCTCTCCACAGGGTAGCTTGCCACCCCAAAACAATAATTTAAATGAAGAAAAACTAAATTTATTTAAGGACTTGAGCAACACCGGATAAATCTTCTAGTATTAAACTAAAGATATTCCAATCACTTGCTATTGTAAACTGCTACAACAAAACACTTTTGAACTAGATTGAGCCTTTAGACTCAGCTCTGAGTAACACCTAGTTCCACCAAAAGGAGAGCAAAGGAAAGGTATTTTGATTCCTCTCCATTCCAACTTCCTTGCAGCCAATGATGTGGGTGAGAAGGAGGCTTGGGAAAGGAAACGTAGATGAGACATCTACTTCTCCCTTACTTCTGCTGATCTATGCAAAAATTGTAGCTCTTTACACCTTTTAAAACAATGAAAATTAGACACTTCAAATGTTACAGCAGTTAAAGCTAACATGAAGGGTAATAAGATCAATTCAAAACAAAGTTTACATGAGAACAGTTTTGAAACTTACTCATTTCTAAATAACAACAGCCATGCTAAGAGAAACCAATGGTCCATGTAGCCAGTATTCTAATGTTGATAGGAGTCAGTGCCAGATGCTTCAGGGGGTACAAACAGAACAAGGCAATTATTAAGATTACAATTTAGTCATGGAAATCTTGAAGTCACAGATTCTGTGACTTTACCAAACCTCCATGACTTCTTCAGCAGTCAGTGTCTGCAGCCAGGGTTGGGCTATGGCTTAGTGTCCTATGGCTGTGACGAAGACTGCCAGGTGTCTGAAAAGGGGACCTAGCAACTCTGCTTGCCACCAACAACCAAAACATTAAATTCTAGTCAGCAGCGCAGCAGGGTCCCAGAGCTAAAAGCAGGCTTCCTACCTGCCCTGGCTCCAAGCCTCTCCTAGAAGTGGCTGCCCAGTCCTGTGCCCCTAGGTGCATGAGGCAGTCAGGGACTGGGAGACTCTGTGTGTTGGCCCCACCCCAAGGGCCAGCTCTGCAGCTCCCACAGGCCAGGAACCGTGACCAATAGCAGCTGTAGAGGGGGTGACGGTGGGCAACACATGAAGCATCCTTGGCCATCCATGCACCAAAAGGCCACAGGGACCTCGTGGTCGCTTCCTGGGAGCAACAGTAACTACCACCAGGACACTTCATCCCAATCCTTTGTCCAGTACAGAGTCCCCTCCTGCACCACAAACCCCTCAATTTCCAGCCTCACCCCTAGCCAGAGCCCTAACACCACCCCCAGACTCTAGCCCTGTGGCCTAGCCCAGAGCTGCTTCCTGCACCCAAAATCCCTCATTCCCATCCTCACCCCCAAGCGAAGTCTCACCTACCTGCACCAACCTGGAGCCCCCTTCTTCATCCCCAAACTCCTCATCCTCAGCCCCACTCCAGAACCCACAACTACTTCTCCACCTTCCCCTATAACTCCTTGCCCTAGCCTCTCCTATACCCTGAACCCCTCATATCTAGCCTGACCAGGAGAATGAACCCCCAACCCATATCCGCTCCAATACCCCAACCCCTCTGCCCCAGCCTGGGGAAAGTGAGTGAGGGTGGGGAAGAGTGAGCAACAGAGGGGGGGACAGCACAAGCAGGCAGTGAAGCCTCAGAGGAGTGGGGCATGAATGGGACCTTGGAACATGCCAGGGGTATTTTATTTATTTGATTAGAAAGTTGACAACTCCCTTTAGTCTTCTCTTTTCCGCACTGAAGAGTCTGTCTTTTTAATCTCTCTTCATATGGAAGCTCTTCCATAATCTAATCTGTTTCCTTGTCCTCCTCTGCACCTTTTGCAATCCTAATCTATCTTTTTTTGGGTGGGGAGGAGACTAGAACTGCATGCAGGGTTCAAGGTGTGGACATAACATGGATTCAAATAGTAGCATTACAATATTTTGTTTTATTATCTGTCCTTTTCCCAATAATTCCTCAGACTGTGGGCTTTTTTGACTGCTGCTGCACACTGAGTGGATGGTCTCAGACAATGTTCCACCACAACTCAAACATCTCTTTCTTTAGTGGTAATAGTTAATTTACACCTTCTCATAGGTATGTATACTTGGGATTATTTTTCAGTGTGCATTACTTTATACTTAACAACACTGAATTTCATCTACCATTCTGTTGCCCAGTTAATGAGATCCCTTGTTACTCTTCAGAATTAATTTTTGGACTTAACTATATTGAGTAATTTTGCATCATCTCCAAATGTTGACACCTCAGTATTTAGCCTTTTTTCCAGCTCACTTATGAATATTTTGAATAGGTCCTGGTACAGAGCCCTGGGAATCCCACTTTTTACTTTCCTCCATCATGAAACTGATGATTTATTCCTACCTTTCATTTTCTGCCTTTTCAGCCAGGAGAGGACCTTCCCTTTTATCCCATGTTTGCTAAGTTTGGAGAGGAACTTTGTCAAAGGCTTTCTGGAAGTCAAAGTACAGTATATCCATTGGATCATCCTCTTCTACATGCTTGTTGACAACTTTAAAGAATTCTAAGTGACTGGTAAGGCATGATTTTCCTTTGCAAAAACCATGTTGACTCTTCTTCCCTCAACATATCTTATTTCTCTTTGATCTGAGGAAGTGGGTCTGGCCCACGAAAGCTCATCATCTAATAAACCATCTTGTTAGTCTTTAAAGTGCTACATTGTCCTGCATTTTATTTCTCTTTGTGTGTGATAATTTTGTTCTTTATGATAATTTCAACTAATTTGCCTTGTAATGAAATGAGGTTTAACATATAATAATAGTTGAGATCACCTTTTGAGTCTTTTTTTTTTCTTTAAATCGGTATTACATTAGCTATCCTACAACCGTCTGGTGCAAAAGATGATTTAAATGATAGTTTACATACTACAGTTAGTAGTTCTACAATTTCACATTTGAGTTCTTTCAGAACTCTTGGATAAGTACCAGCTGGTCCTGATAATTTATTACTGTTTGATTAGTTTGTTCCAAAATTTCCTATACTGACTCCTCAATCTTGTGGGTTTTCATCTTATTTACCTGTGACATTGAGTACATTTCCCAGACCAGATGAGTTCTGCGTAGCTCGAAAGCCTGTCTCTCTCACCAATCTAAGTTGGCCCAATAAAAAGACATTACTCATCCACTCCAAACCTCATCTGGGACAGCTCCTCGTATTTGTCACCTAAAAATAATGGAGTATGTATGGCAACTTCCTCGCAATAATTTTAAATGTTGAAGCTCAAACTTCCAAGCACTAATCTGAATAATTAAAATGGGCTTC